AGTCAGTGGGGGGGGGGGATCTGCTTTTCCTGCTGCTGGTAAAGCTGACGATTCTGTATAGAAGATAAATACAAACCTTCTGCAGGAGGATGATGATGGTGACTTGTTGTTGTGTGTTGTAGGGGAGACCGGGGATTTTTGTAATACTTCCAATCAGGAGCAAGCTACGAATCACCTGATTCACTCTATACCTGCTCGATTTAGTCTTTGTTCCACATGCACATCCACAAGCACAATGTGGCAGAAGCAGCCAATTTTAGAGGGAAAAACATTGATAATATTGTCTGCTTTGTAGTTAAATCCTTCAAACTGAAATCATGTTTATTGAGTGTCTGTGCAGATATCTTAAATGCAAGGTGTCAGTGCTAATGTTTTAGCTGTTAGCTGTAAGGTAAGCTACTTTATTGGCTACAAGAGTCTGGGATAGTTGCAGCAGTGGAGTGGTAATTGGGAGGATCGGGAGTATTCCCGGTGTGCCGTTAGCGTTTCAGGGCTAACAATATAATGTTATTTACAAGTAGGCTACATAGCTGCACAGAAATGTTCCAGTATAACAGATGTATTCTGAGCATCTAGTAAAGACCCAGCAGGTGAAATGCTAAGCAGGGGCATTGTAGCTAGGTGCTAGCTCAGGTGATATTACTGTAAATTTGGCCAGTATAGCTAGCTGGTAGTTTTTGGGCAGCCATATGCTTGTATTAGCCAGTTGTTTTGCTTTGTGTGTTATTAACAGCTAGCTAATGCAAATGATTCAAATATAAAACATTTTTATACGTTTATGTTTTGTTCCAGTTTTTCTTTTGCAGCCCAGTGATGCTGATGAGACAGGGCCAGGAGGAGGTAGCAAAGAAAACACAGTTTTCTTCTTCACAGTACAGCTGTGCACACTGGCACTGTACAATCTTGTAAGTGCAAAAGAATGGATGCAGTTTGTAGAGGGAAGGTGCAATATTGCAGAATTAAATTGCAGAAAATTACAGGACAAATTTCATAACTGCACAGACGGAAATGTCAAAAATATTACAATCTTCCCCAGTCTCCCCTTCTACATCGGCTGATGCACAGTATGAAACAGTTAGTATTTGTGTCTTTGGGTGTGAAAGATATTTTGGGGATTATTTTTGAACAGTGCTGGCTGCTGAAGTCCCCGGTGTGTTTCCTCGGATGAATAAAGCTGTGTTTTCCACATTTATTTCTCTAAACTAAACTGCAGTGTAGAGAAGCACATCCATAAACAAGATGTGAAATGACTGCAAGTTCTGATGATTCGCTCGTTTTCTATCTCAGTTTTACTCTCTCTGTCCTCCATCTTTCCATCTGGCTCTCATTACAAATTTTCTTTAATCCTCCACTCTGCTCCTCTTTCAAATGCTCTCTTAATTTATCCCTGCGTATATCACTCGTCTAGTTTCTCTTTTTAGTATCTCCTACTCCGTTTGCTTTTATCTTGTCTTTTTTTTTTTTTAACCTCCTTTCCTTAATGGCGTCTCTGGTTTGACAGTATTTCGCCTCATTTATGTAGATAGATACTTCATCAGCCATTCTGCTTTCACGTTCCTTTAATTTGTCCTATCATTTTTTTTTCCAGCATTTTCTTAGATGTCCTCTCTCTTTGTCATTACAGCCGCCCTCTGACTCATTTTTTTTTACTCTAAAATAAATAAAGGAAAAATGTTGATTTTCTCAAACTAACTGTCACATCTCATTGAAGGCTCTTTGTGTAACCTTCAGAAAAACCATTAAGTGAACTGCAGTCAGCATCCTGATGCTCGCGAGTCCATCCTGGGCATCGGCCAAAGGAATGATGTAACAGTCAGTCAGTCAGTGGTTCTTGGATAGAGCCAATTTAAAGATTACCAGGAGAAGAAGGAACAGTCTATCTCTTCATTGCCACCAGACTGTGAAGAGTTTTTAAATGGGATTAATGAGTGTGAGTTCAGATGAGAGACTGGTGATGACGTAACAGTGAGTGGATGCGGGAACGTCTACTAATGCTGGCGTGATGCCCCTGGAACATACATGCAGCACACTCTCATATGCACCCTGAATGACAGGCACACAGAGAGAGCCAGTAAAGAGACTGAGAGGGATGGTAAAAACTTTATGGATGTTTTGACAGGGCAAAAGCCCACTGGGAGGGGGGTTGCGATGGCCGGTCCGACTACATGAGACTGAATGTGATTGACCGACATCATGGTGATAGATTAGGTAACTGAAGATACACTTTTATTATAGTTTGACTATAAATGATATTTTAAATTATATTTGACTCTCCAGCTCTGACACAGCGCTCAAACAACATGTGGAATTAGGTCTTGCTATGTAAGACTATAGTTTGACTAACATTATGTGTTTTTGAAATAGGATTTATAAAGTGTAAATGTTAATTCGTTATCAGCTGATGTTGACCCATGTTTCCCCTAATGTGGAGTTTTTGTCGGAGTCTGTGTTGAGCTGGGAACCGGTTGCTTGTTGATGTTAGCAGACTCCATTTAAGCTAACGTTAGCTAATGTTGCACACTGTTAGCGCTGTAGGGGAGTGGAAGAGAGGGATTGAGGCAAGGCACTCAGGAGCGAGCGTGAATATCACATGCTTTGGATTTTCATGGAAAGTCAGGGAAGGTCTCATTTTTTAAGTTACATTACAACCTGTTCACACACTGACAATAAAAAAAGTGATTAATACATATAAATCGCTTCCCATTCTCACATAAAGCAACTTTAAAACCTGAATATATTCAGTCTAACAGAGAAAAGAAGCAAATCCTCAGAAATGAGAATTTGGAACCGGAAAATATTTTAGCATTTTTGCTTGAAAAATTACACAACTTATTAGTCCACTTATGTAGACTAATCGTTTCAGCTCTATAATGTGTTTACACCTGAGTGAGAGCAGTTTTCCCTGACACCACTGATGTGTCTGAATTCTACAAATGCCAATTAACTCTTGCACCTCTTGGATCAGACATTAGGAGTATGACATAGATGAGTGGACAGCTGTGGCCTGTGTATTTACTTGCTGCTTCATCTGGGGGAGGTCAGGAATTAGAGTCAAGCACAGAGCAGAAGCCCTGCAGCGAGGACAGACACTTGAGCCTCTGTAGGTCTTATGATTGATGCTGCACACACTCTCTCTGATTACACTCTTTATTTAATTCCCTGATCACACTTTTCCCACCTCTTTTTATAATCTCTCTCTTTCAATCTCATTAACTTTTTATAGCACCTACTCTCTGCTGTATCTCTTTCTCATTCTCTCGACTCTTTCTTTAAACCCCTCTTCTCTTGCTCTCTTCATCTTCTTCCCTCCATTTCTCACAGTTTCCCCATTTCATATATATATACGTATATATATATATATATATATATATATATATATATGTATATATATATGTATATATATGTATATATTTTTTAATCCTTTCAGCAACCACCATCCACCACTCTCCAAATCTCTGCTCTCCACTCTTTACATCTATCCACTCCTCCCCTCTTCTCATTTCATATCCATCTTGTTTTCTTCCATTAGGATCACCAAAATGTAAAAACCAGCTCCCTGGATTTAATTTCTCAGCATGTGACATGTTCTTAAACGACAACAAGACACTCCAATTCTCCACAGCCAAAACCACTTTGGCATAATTTGGCCCACATAGAGCTAAACTAATTCTCTGTAAGTAAATCATCAAATTTCATTGATTTCCAATCTCGCTTTTAGGCGTCAATGCAGTCCACCCCCCCCCAAGTCATTCCCCTCAAGAAACTTTAAAGGTGCACACTGCCACGATATATATATATATATACTGTATACATGCACACACTCTGTGTTTTCTGTGGCTGCAAATTGAGCCTGGCATATTGAATTTAAAATACACTTCTGTTGGCTTGAACAATGTTTGGATGCACAGCATGCGCCTGTGATAAATAACCCACAAGCAGGGTTTGTTAGATTTCACTTTGTATCAACATCGACCAGAAATTCTTTTTCTATTCATTTTTATCCACGTCTCTGAAAACAGATCTATACACACTTCACTTGTAGGTGCACAACCCTGTCTCCTATAAAATACGTACAGAGCACAGGACACTCTCTCCAAGAGGTGTGATTTGCACCTGTCTATTTATTTACATGGAAAACCGCCTTCATACCTTACATCCATGATAGTTCAGTCAACTGGACCACATCACACCAGGACTTTGTATCTCTTTTAATTGATTCTTGTCATTACATTATTTAACTGTTATTTTTTTATCTACTTGTGTTATTTCTTTGTATTTTACTGCACAGCAACTCCAATAGTTTTAAATGTGCTTTAAATATAAATTTATAAATAAGCTGATTTGAGTTCTACACTAAACGATATCAAACTGTTTGTTAAACACAAACTGAATATCTTATTGGGCAATAAAGATGACATTCGCTTGATAACATATATTGACATGAATTTTGCTTCTACATTGATTAAATATTATAAAAATATATTTTTACATTCTGTAACAACCTGCCTGTGAGGGGTCGATAGGAAAACGATGCAGCCTGCAATCCGCTGATTGATATAAGCCTCACTGTTTACTCTGTGCTAATGCTAACGCTACATTTTCTACTGCAGCTGCTTGCAACCACAGGAAACACGATGGATTTGTCAGTGAGGTTCGTTTCATCGATCGTTCGTCCACGAAAGAAGAGAAAAGTCATTTTGGTCCTTTTTTTTTTTTGTGTTTAAAATGTGTCAGAGAGTAATGGAAGAGTGAGGGGCAGCCAGAGATGTACAGATAGAGAGCAAAGTGCTTGTGTCAAATTCCTCTGAGACACACTCAGTTGTAGGTGTGTGTGTGTGTGTGTGTGTATGTGTGTGTGAGGTCAGACAATCCCATTAGACATATAATAAATGGTTCCCTGCCAGAGAGCAGCCATGTTGTGGAGAAGTAAAGGTTACACACTTCACTCAGGGCGGCCCGGGCACACCACTGGGAGCTCAGAGGTGTGTGTGTGTGTTTACCTCCTCCAGTTTGAATGTGATCATAGTGAAGGCTCTGAACACGCAGTCCGTCGGCCCTGTGATGGTGATGATCCTCTCCGGACAGGAGCCCTCTGAGATGTTGATCCTCGCGCTGCTCTGTGGGTCCAGACAGAGATGGAGGGACGGAGGGAGGAGAGGGATTGTGGGAAAATTATTTTTTTGGGGGGTGGGGTGGAGGCAGGAGGGAGGGAAAGGAAAAGGGGTGGGGGGGGGTAAGGAAAGGGAGAAAGGGCATGAGGGGATAATGCAAAGGAATGAGGAAAAACATCAGGAAGTAAGGGAGGCAAGTGGGGAGCAGAGTGGAGGTGAGTCATGATGGGGAGAGGGGGAGGTTGAAGGGGGAGGGGATATGGAAGTTAATGGAGAGAGGAAGCGGAGGGGAGGAATAGAGGAGAGAGAAAACACATTAGTGGGGGGGAGGGATATGTGGGCCAAGACAGAGAAGAGGAGGAGAACAATTTTCACCACACTGCTCCCCGCTCCCTAAAGGTGATTCACCTGTGATGCAGGAGGAGAGAGGGATTACAAGGAGGCTGGAAGAGGGAGGAGAGAGGAAGGGAGGGAGGCAAGGCAGATTGAGAGAAGCAGCAATGCCAGCACACACACACTTCTTCAGGGATATGGGCTGCGGCCGGGTACGACGGGGTGGGGGCAGAGGAGGAAATGAAAAGGCGATGAGAATATTGGGGAGATTATAGGAAGAAAAAGATTAAGATGATTTTGAGGAGGAGGAGGATGGAGGAAGATGTGATTCAAGACCAGGGAAATGGAGGAGAGGAGAGGAAAGAGTGTGGGTAGAGAGTTATTAAAAGGAAGGAGGAAGGAAGGAAGGAAGGAAGGAAGGAAGGAAGGAAGGAAGGAAGAGGAGGACAGGAAAGTGAGGGAAAGGGACGAGAGGAGACACAAGGTGGTGCAAATATTTGAGGAGAAATAAGAGGAGAAGGTGAAGATATAGAGAAGGTGCAGTAATAACCATACGAGGATGGAAGGAGAGGATGGGTGTCAGGAGAAAATTGAAGTGTGAGTTAGAGGGAGTGCAGATAAACAGAGACGATAAGAATCACAGCCTGGTGTTGGCTTTTGTGGGAGAAAGGAGGCTTTGACTCGTCCTTATTTTCTTATTTATGAAACTTTAACTCTGGTTTCAACTGATCCTGCATCAGAGTCCACAGAGAGCCGCTCACACAAACCGCTTGTCCTACGGTACACACACACACACACAGTCGACTGGATTTACTTCATCACTCGAATGTGTGTGTGTGTGTGTGTGTGTGTGTGTTTTCAGAAAAATATGTCTCCAAACAACCTGGACATGTTTTGTAAGAGTAAACAACAGTCAACAGTTTAAAACCAGCGAGACGACTGTGATTATTTACATCTGGACTGAACACAGAAACAAAAGCATGAACATTCACACTGGGCTCAAAGAAAGAAAGAAAGAAAGAAAGAAACATTGATTTTTTTCTCAGCTTAAAATACACTTGTTAACCTCAAATCATTTATCCCTCTCTCTGAGTTTTGTGGATGGTGAGCTCAGTGCTGTGTGTGTGTGTGTGTGTGTGTGTGTGTGTATCACTGTCTTGTGGCCATCAGCTTTGTCTGTTTCACTTACAGCTGACAGCTAGACGGACGGACGGACGGACGGACGGACGGACGGACAGACAGACAGACAGACAGACAGACAGACAGACAGACAGACAGACAGACAGACAGACAGATAGATAGATAGATAGATAGACTTTGCAGGTATCTGGTCATAAACCAAGGACACCATTACTTGTGTTTACTGCTATTTCGCGCTAAACTAAGACGGTGCACATGGTGAACACATGACACCTGCTGAACATCATGTTAGCATTGTTTATTGTGAGCATGTTAGCATCCAGCCTCACAGAGTGTAGACCAGTCAGTCTCATTAAAAATCTGTCTCTCTGTCACCAGTCCCCACACTTTATGGACGTGCAGTAATAACTCAGTGGAGCACACCTCCGACATTAATTTGGATTATCTGTTAAATTGTGTGTGTGTGTGTGTGCGTGTGTGTGTGCGTGCGTGTGTGTGTGTGCAATCCAAGGCTTTTTAAACCTGTTATCTGTGCAGTGTGTGTGTATTGATAAACACACAGAAAAATTCATATTTTATGTGTCTATTCGTGCGCTGTCTGAGTTTTGTTTTCTCCAAACAACACACCTGGGTAGGTGTTTGCCACTGCTACTGTGCAACAGTGTGTGAGTGTGTATTTCATTCTTGTGTGTGTGTGTGTGTGTGTGTGTATGTTTATTAGTGAGGCTTGCCTTGGTGCAATTCCCCTGTCAGCCTCTATAGACTGCAGTCTTCTCTCATTGTTGAGAAAATAGAACAAATATGCAAGTGTGTGTGTGTGTGTGTGTGTGTGTGTGTGTGTGTGTGTGTGTGTGTGTGTGTGTGTGTGTGTGTGTGTGTGTGTGTGTGTATAGCAATTGGTAATAAAGCAATGATGGAATAATTCTCCACTGCTCTTTCACCATTTATTATCTCAATAAAAATGCATTAGCTGGCGTCTCCCTCTGCTCCTCAGTTTGTTTGTTTGTTTCTATCCATCCATCCATCGTTATATTCTTCCTCCATTCTGCCCCTCCTTCTTCAAGATCATCCCGCTCATTATCCATCCCTCCACCATTACCTCCTCCTTTCCTCACTCCTCGGTTCATTCATCCACCTCTCCTTCCCTCCCTTTTATCCTTTAATCTCATCAGCCTCATCATCATTAATTTATCAATACGTCCTCCTCCTGCTCCCCGTCCGTCTGACGGTCTTGCAATCACTCCATCCATCACTTCTCATATACATCTCCCCTTCTTCTGATCCTCTTACTTAACCCCCTGTCCCATCGGTTACCCTCTGCAACACTCCCTTCTCTCCTCACTCCTCCCTCGATCCTATCCTTCATCGCTCTGTTTCCTCGCTTCCTTTGCTACCTTTCTCCATTAAATCCCTCCTTACACCTGTTTTCTTCTTCTCCTTGTGCTGCCTTATCAAAATGGGAGAGTAGGTGAGTTACTTTTTTTAGTTTCTTTATGAAAGAACAGAGATTTTCATGTTCGGGTTTGCCCTGTCTGAGACTTTTGGGCCCTTACTGCAACTCTGCTCTTCCTGAATTAGCTAATTAGCTGGCAGGCTAACAGCAACGCATGCACAACAGTCAATAAATAGCAAACGTTGCCTAAATTTAGCTTTTAGAACAAAGTTTAAATAGATAAAGTTGGTTTAGATTCTCCGGTAGCATTGCACTGAGCCATTGTGGTGAAGGTGGAGCTGATCCTGGAAGGTAAAGCTCTTGATTTACCAGTTGATCTTTGTTCCAATCCTCACCTGCGGTCATGAGCTCTGGGTAGTGGCTGACAGAATGAAATCATGGGTACAGGTGACTGAGGTGAGTCCCCCCCCCCCCAAAGGGGTGTCTGGGCTCAGCCTTAGAGATAGGGCGAGGAGCTCTGCGCTCTGCCGCTGCTCCTTCACGTCGAAAGGAAGCAGGTGTGGCGGATCGGTCATCTGATTAAGATGCCTCCTGGGCACCTCCCAATGGAGGTCTCATCCAAAGTGGTAGGAGACCCCTGGGGGGGGGGGGGCTAGAACACACTGGAGAGATTATATATCTCATCTGGACAGGGAACGCCTCGGGATCCCCCAGGAGGAGGTGGAAAGCGTCGCTGGGGTGAGGTGACGTCCGGACTACCTCGCTTGACCTGCTGCCATCGCGATCCAAACCCCAGAGTTAGATGGTTGAAAACAACAACAGTATTCATGCAAATCATTTGGTTGCCATGATAACACGCGTGTGTGTTAGCACATGAGTGCGAGGATTTTAGCTGCTTGTGTTTGGTGGATTTGGGTCGAGAGCGAGGACGACGTTAAGGAAGTTAAAGAAAGACTCTCTGTAGTCGTCGTCTTCTCCTCAGTGACAAACATCTACAAAACAATTACACTGCAAACCCTCTGCTGACCGCGCTCAACTGCACTCCGACTCCAACTCCAACTCACCGCGGCCCTGGATCTCAAAGTAAATGAAACGGTGTAAACACAGTTACTGCGAGGAATACAGCTGAGGCCTGATACTGATCATATACAACACATTGTTTAGAGTTGGAGCGTTGAAACCCGACTCTTTTATACTAACAACAGGGCTCATGTTAACCCCTTGTGTCGACTACAAATCCAGCTCACCGTCATCGTCATATCGTAATACTGCTGTACGACACACTTTTCTTTTGTTCCCTTAACCTGTTTGTTATTATATAGTAAGTTATTATTTAACGAAAATGTCGCGTCTGATCCCTGAGTTTCCTGTCGGTCTGTGTGATGTCATGTTTTCTTCCTCTTCGGTGTGAACGCAAACCAGACCGGAAATTAATAAGCATCAATCTATCTTATCTTCACCTCGGACCAGCTAAAGCTAAAGCTAAAGCTAAAGCTAAAGCTGTGAGTGTTTTCATGACGATGAGACTTCGGATCACATCGAGGCGTCTTCTGGACAGATTCTTTTGGGCATTCACTAAACTCCAAGTCTTTCCTGCCTCTTTCTCCCTCTCTTTCCCCCTCCTCTCTATCTCCTTCCTGCTCTCCCCTCCCGCCTTCTTTCCTCCCCATCCCACTTTAATGAGTGAGACATGCGGCAGTGCGTTGTCTTGCTGTTGCAGCATGGGGCGGCTGTCTTCATTACTCTTCATTTGGAGTGGAGGAAGGATGGACAGCCATGTCATTCAACTGGATTACTCTGCTCTGTTCTGCTTTATTAGGGAGTCATGCTGCCAGGGAGTCTGTGTGTGTGTGTGTGTGTGTGTGTGTGTGTGAGAGAGAGAGAGAGAGAGTGAGAGAGTGAGTGAGAGACCATGTGTGTGTTCATAAGTGGGCTTGCATGCATTTGTGTTTGTGTGTGTACAGCTATTATGAAGAGCTACAACCTGACACCAATGTTTTTATTGACTTGATGAAAAGCGACCTCTTGCATGCTGCAACCTCTCCTTGTGTGCAAGTATGTGTGTGTGTGTGTGTGTGTGTGTGTGGTGATTCTGTGCCTCTTCAAAACCCTGGCACCATATGAAAATGTAGCCTTGAAACTCCAGATTTCATACAGTAAACAGTTCATTAAAGAAAGCGAACGATGGTGTGTGTGTGTGTGTGTGTGTGTGTGTGTGCACATGTGTGAGTGAGGCAAGCGGGTTGGGGGGGAGTAAAGAAGAATAATGAGAGGAAGACATAGCTTATAAATCCAGTAAACTGTATATCCGGTGTTGTGGTTTTGTCCTTGAGAGGCAAATAGCCATTTAAATATTCATGTTTCCTGCTCCGTGAGTTACGCTGTCAGACAGAAATGCTCGGTCTAAAAACAATGTGTTGTCTTTTCCTCATCATCCGTCTCCCTCTCGTTCATCTCTCTGCCTCCTCTGTTTGCTCCGTCTCCCCACAGAGGTGAACGTTGAGCTTTTGATTTTTAATTAGATGTTTATTTTATGAGGCTTTTCATTTCAGTTCGGTTTTAGTTCGTCTCTGACTTGGATCTGGTGTTTGTTATATTGACTGTAGTCTCCCTTTCAACCGCAGTGGTTTTATTTTGAAGTGGTGCATATTTCGTGTAATAAAGACCAAAATCCAGGGCAGTGTTTGTAGCGGGCGCTGCGATAGAGGAAGTCTAAAACATTCACATTGATTACTCTCTTTGAAAGAGTTGTTAAGCTACAGATTTCCCAGCTTCTTAAGGGTGACACCGGCGATCAATCAGATTAATTAATTAATTAATTAGACCATGGAGAATAAGATACATTGTTACCTTTTAGTTCTGGTCCATTTCACGTTCACACTGACTCATTATAAACAAAACAAGAGCTGTTAGCATGACAGCACTACATTAACATCGCTACATGGACTCATGCGGGGAAATCAAATCCTGGTGCCTGACAGCAGGATGAAAAGCCGTAACATCACAGGAGGGTAGTTACTGAGTGGTAGCTACGTTTTAGTAAAAGGCATAACAACACAAACACAACACGCGCTCTGAAGTCTGACGTCTCTGTGATGTTTCTATTAATATCTCTGCGATAATACAGCCAGAGGCGCAGCTTCTGAACAGGCAACTGCTTGGGGCCCCAGGATATTACGCCCCCCCCCCGAGGGCTGACAAACCCTGCTCCCCAGCAATGACTCTAAATGCAGCTCCCTCCCCTTTAAACAACTAATGGACAATTTGCAATGACATTTCGGTAGGAAACCTCCCTAAAGGGACCCCCATTTAGTATAAACACAATGGGGATCAGTGATTGGTCGGTAGGTGTGCCCATTCACAGCTCATTCACGTCTTTGTCTGGCTGATGATTGGTCGACTGAACGTGCTGCTGCTCTGTCCCGCCCACTGAACACCGGTGGTCCAGTGAGCCACACCAGAGCATTTGGAATAAATCCTGCAATGTTTGGATGGTGGGGTCCAGGTGGGCGGGGCTTGGTGACTGCTTTGTTGTGACATCACAAAGTTCCAGAAGTCCTGACGGCTGGTTTTAAGGCTCAGTTTCTGAATACAGGCTGTGTGCATTTCTCTGTGGACTGAGGCTTTGATACTTTCACAGTATTAATATAGAAGCTAGACCTGATCTATAATCACACTACACATGGACACAGACCTTTATACATCATTGGACCTTTAAAGAGGTCGTAGTTTAGCTTTTGAATTTATGCAAAAAACTTACCATCATAAAACGTTTGTTTTTGTTGGGTTCGACTGAACCCAAACAAGCAGCTCAGATCTGAAAGCAACTTTAAATAACGATCAGTATTTAAGACGTCACATTGAAATATCATCATGTGCATTTTTTTTGTTTGTTTTGCCTTTGTATAAAAGCGTCTTCATCACTTCTCATATCTCTGCAGGAAGCTTTACTGTTCTTCAGGAGGCTGACTGATTCCTCTAAATTCACATTTTATTTTTTGTGACATTTCACAAGTTCACTTAAAATTCCCTCAGCGGATAAATGGAAACATAACTCCTCTCCCTCTCTCCCTCCCTCCCTCCCTCCCTCCCCCTTTTGTCTCTCGCTCTCTGGAGTGTTGATTCATGTGCAGTCATCTTCGAATTATTTCTCTAAGGACACACACATTTCTAAAATAATTTCTCCCTCCAGAATGTATTTGTGGGTTATTATTTAACATTTTTTCCAGGCGAGCAGGGAACTAAATTGAGTAAATTTAGGCTCATTAAAACACAGTAGTGTATTGTTTTCTTGTTGAAACACACCGGAAGGAGTTCTGTGACCTATTTTGAGTTGAAGAAATTTAATCTTTTCCCACATATTTGACTCTCCTCCTTTATGCTGCTGCTGCCGCACTGACGTAGAGGCTTTTATTTCGCCTGCCTGATGTCGCAGGGACTCAGGAGTGCGTTTGCAACATAACAATAAGGATTTGGTGACATAACACCTCATCCTTGTTTCTCCTGTGTAATGTGAGGTAGCCATTTTACAATAAACACACACACACACACACACACACTGTATTGCTACCACACACATTCAACAGATACAAGTTCTACCTTTCTCTCTTACTTCCTGTACGTTTGGACAAGGATAATCTGGGCTTTTCATTAACTCTCCTCTGGGAATCCCCACATCTTTGCACAGAAAACTCTGGTATTCACGTCAGGTGTTGCATTCATTAGCAAGTCACCGATGTGCCCGTGTTCTGTATTCAGTGAGGCGGATGCAGAACATTTGAAACTGTAGATGCACGTGTTTAAGTGTGCAAGTGTGCAGCAGACGACCTGATTTCACATGTAGCATCGCACCAGGGGAAGTGAAAAGGGAATTACTCGAGCAAATCACATGAAGAAGAGTAAAGGACCGGAGCTGGTGTTTATTTCATCACTGTATTTTCATTTAATATATTAGTTTTAGTCAAATTTGAGCCATTTGATTTGCCATTGAAAGGCATTTTAGTTTAGTTTTCATCACTGAAGATTTTTCTTTTTGGTAATTAATGTTTTCTGAGGCTTCTAGCCGTCGCCATCTTTGATGTGTTGCACAGTTCCATCAGGAGAACGTCGCCTGGACGAACAGCGTCTGAACCGATTGTTGGAATTGTTGCCGCAGCGTCTGACAATTTCTCTAACTCAGCGGTTCCCAACTGCGGGCAGGGGCCCACTGGTGGGCCATGAAGGTATTGCAAGTTGGCCGACATATCATTTTCTTGTATTAAGGCCTGTGCTAAGACAATGACAGGAAGTTATATCTTGTCGCCGGTCGGACCACATCACATACTTGTTTGCTACCTCAGTCTAAATGCACATGAAAAGATTACACCCATGGCAAAGAATAATAGCTGGTTAGGTACAGGAAGAGTGAATCGACAAGCGATCGCTCCCCATCAAACAAAAAAGAAAAACTGAGCTTCCCTGCTTCCAGTTCAGTCCTGAATGTTCACTCGTTATCATTAAAATAAAAAGCGCTCTGAGAACACATTATTAGGGCAGACATTTCTGAGATTTTCCAAGTAGAGCTGGGGAAGGTTGGGAATCACTGCTCTAACTAACACCCACTTCTTGCAGGAACTGGCCCGGTGTGTGGAAGAGAGAAAGTGAGCGGGGGTTTGATCTGTAGCGCTCGTTCATTATTCTTTACACAACTCTGCCTGTCGCTGTTCTTGTGCACGGCTGAGTGCACCTTCTGAAAATGTGAGCTGCTATCCTCATATTTAAACTGCAACATCTCTGCCTTCATGTGGAACAACTAGAAACTCTTTTGCCTTCGAACACGGTCGGACAACATGTTGCACAAATTAGCTCGTTTCTAGCATAAGCCATCTCTTTGCTGTTACATGTGCGGTTCTTGTGTGTTCGTAAGATTTTCTTGTCACAGATTTCATTAACAAAGCTATCAATGATTGGATGATGAGGAGTGATGTCATCATCGACAAGCCGTATATTTGTGTCTCCTGTTTCCTTGAAGAGGAGGGAGAGAGAGGCGGAGAGGACAGCTACTCCACAGAGAAGCTCTGCACCCACAGCTTCAAGTGGTAACACCACTTTACAGGCTGCTGACAGCAAAGACAGCTAAATATGTAAACGTCAGCGCGGCTAACGTCTCAGCAGGCGGCCAGAAATACAAAATACACCTTCAGATATTAAACTGCCTTTCTAAAAATAGGTTGGACATGACGGGGAAGTTTCTGCTTTTTTTCCCCCGCTCCCACTGAAAGCTTCTGATAAACACCCTCCTTTCATACACAGCGTAATTACAGGAGAAAAAAAACAGAATATGTATAATCATGTTGGATACAGCTGATTTTCATGCTGCTATTGTGTATATAGATTAAACGGTGCCCATGCGTCCTGCTTCTAACGATGTTAGTATGGATTTGTGCTGCTCTCTAAATACAGCACAGGATGCATGTGAGCTGCATTTGAAGGGTTATCATGGATTAATAGGAAAACCAGAGACGATGATGGAAGAAGATGAAAGAATATGCAGGATGGGGGTTGGGGGTGGGGGTGGGGGGGCGAGTCTTACCTCTTCTCGTATTCTCTTCACTGTTTCCCCTTTCTGCAGAAAGACAAGAAATGTTTTCGTTTATTATTTTCTTGCAGAACAACATTCATCTTTAGGCCGTTTGGAGAGTTCATGAAGTGTTTCACGAAATCCACCAAAATAAGGGAAACACATCGAGCAAAGGTCGCTACATGCAAAAGAAAAAAGTGATTAGAAAGTTTGTAAACAGGATTAATTGACCTCCAGTTTACAGCATCAGTGAACAGTATGACCTCTAGTCATGGGTAATGGGGCGGGTTTTTAGGGTTAGGGTTACAATGAAATAATGTTTTATCCATTTGAAATAGTAAAATATTTTCGGTTCATTAGAAAACCATGTCGTGACTAATCGGACGTCAGTAGAGTGGGCGGTCCTTCAATGTATGTATCGGATCTCAAATGAGTCTTGGGTGCGTTCACACCCGGACTCACTGGGGTCACCAGAGCCGGGCGTTAATACCAGGTCTGAACAGGTTCAAAGTGACTCATCTGCCTCCTCTGTGGTTAAAGCATGGTTAGGTTTACGCAACTAAAATTTTGCATTGATTCGCCCACGTTATGCAAATGACAGAAATCAGAGACAAAAACCCTCGAGTGAGCTTTTTTTCCTCTCGTTTACAATTCACTCGAGCCGCCGTCCCAGCCACTACAGCGGCAACAGAGCTGACTTAATTATAGCCCAAAAAAACAGGAAGTGCTTGTACTTGGAGCACCTTGGAGATGAGTCTGAGACGGATGATGATGAGCAGTGTCAGATGAGAAAGCAATAAAAAGGGAGGGAGGAAGGCAGCAGACACACACACACACACACACACACTGACTTATTGAGAGTTTTCTTTCAGGACCGCAGGAATGATCTTGTCATGAGTGAACCTCAGCAGAGATCAGTTTTTCGTTCACGCCCAGGTTTGATTAAGTTAAAGTTTCCCTGTGGAGTATTTTTTTTTTTTTTACCACCGGTCGAGCTGAGGATCCATGTTTTTATGAGCGGGTCCTGCTGCGTTTCACATCCTGCTGCTAAAGATCACCTTCATTAAAAGAAACCGGCATTAGCTTTTGATTGATGCCTGGACTGGAAACCCCTGTCTGCTGTGTCAAAGTCACCTGCACCCCCCCCCCCACCCCCCCACAGTCTCCTCTGCTAAGTCGCACTACTGATGCCTTTGACTTCTCATTTTATGGGACCATTATTTCCTGCAAATGTCAGCGTCTTGAAAGTGTCGTGTAATTTGATTTGAATTGCAGAGCTTCGCTTGATGTGGTTTGTTTAAAACCAGTGTTTTAGTCGCAGAGGATTCTCCTTGAAAGGGCTGTTTCATTTAAACCCAAGTAGGCTGGGGCCGATATTCAATATCTAATATTGCAATATTCCCCGCCATATGCAGTAGTTTTCATATTATAGATTTTTTTTTGTTGCAGTTTTGCACAGTCTCCCTTCCTGTCATTTCACTGCTTTGCTCACTGTACATTTGTACCTCGGCATGTGACGAATAAATAATCTAAACTGCTGTTCGGTGGCAGCATCACTTATACCTGAAACATAAAATACAATAATATAATTACAGATTATAAACAAATGCCTAAAACGTTAATTATTTATGACTAAAACAAAACAACTGACGCATAATGAATAAATATTACAATATTTGGGTTGGACTGTATTGAGATATTAAAGTTTGGACATCGCACAAGTCTGAACCCAGTAAATATTAATTCTTTCTTCATTTATCATTTAAAATCAACTTTATTTTTCCAGTATGTTGAACAGTATGTTCACCTGACCTGAGACTGTTTCAGAGCCAGAATGACATGGTTCTAACCCTAACCCTACGAAACGTCCTTTAACTGAAGGAGTCCTACAACATAACGTTCATAATGTTCTGTAAATATTCCTGACTTTTCACCAGGGAGAAACCTCCTGTTATTGTACGAGACGCAACATAGCTGTATGTGGGAGACTGCAGGAGGGAGTGGAAACAAAATCCAGGTGAGGAAAATGTGATGTTTTCCACCTCCTCATCCGGAGCCAGCGGGGAGCCCCCGAGCTGCTTCGCTGTCGGAGTTTCTAGTCTAACGCAATGAATGTGACACACGAGTTTGCTAAACTAAAAGGAGAATGTGCTCAGGAAAACAAAAAAATGGTTCTTATGATATTTAAACAAACAAACAAACAAAAAAAAAAGCTGTCATGTATTATGTTTGTTTGTCATATTTTCTTTATTTTTATTTATTTATACTGAGCTGTGTAACATAATCTCATTCTGACACCTGTGTCTATCACATGATGTGTGTTTAAGCCAGATAGGACGGCTTTAAGCGAACATCAGTTCTGCTCTGCCGCCCGGCTGCTTCGTCTAATGCTACGAGAAACCCTGGAGAGCGGCTCCTGCGGTGCGACTATAAGACTGACACGACCCAACTAGAACAGTGATGTAATTTTCGAGCCATCTTTATGTCAGAGGCTGCAAGTTAATAGACCACACACTGCAAGTGATAAGGAGGGAGGGAGGAGGAGGGGAGGGGGGGGTCTAAATATATGCTGACAGAAACCAGCCCCAATCACGGGTTAGTGAATGTGCTGTGAGGGGCAATGGTCATTATCACACTTCACTTGGCTGTGATATATTTGGGGGGGGAGAAAAAAAAAAAAAATCCTACAGGGTTTTTTATTTTATTTAACACGTCCTCAGTTAAATTGACTCGCATCCCTGGAGAGCAGCTCCCTTTCAGTTCGTAGCGATTGGACTGACATGGCCTGACTGGAAATTTTACACACTATTAATGCATATTTCATGGCAACTTTATATCGCTGTCGTAGGATTATATCCAACGTTATCTTGAGCAGCTTGCCAATTTTAGAAAACCACAGTCGGATTTTCAAACACGCAGTTTATAGATGGGGAGGATTTTCACACCCCCCCCCCCCCCCCGCCCACTCCGGCTACATGTAAGTGTTGCAGTGAAATGATTGTATGTATAAATATAAATGTTTTCTGATGCTGCTCTGACGTTCAAATTAATGACAGTTGCACAGAAGCAGTAATTTGCACTCTGCTTTAATTTATTCTGATGTAAAAGCCACCAGAGAAAAACGCTCTCTGGTCATTTTAACTGCCTGACACTCAGACTTTTGTCTTTTGCATGCAGTGCACCAAAATGTTTTTCTCATTATTTCAGAGGGAAAAGCAAAAAAAAAAAAAAGTGTAACTCACCTTGCCGATAATGCTTCCCACTTCCTGAGGAGAGGAAAAACAAACAGAGATGTTACTATGACAACAGATTAGACACACAAAAAATGAGACAAACAGAATCTCTGTCGTCAGCAAATAGGGAGCTCGTTTCTGTCTTTATATCTTTATTGCAACAGAGGCAGTATTTTGTCGTCAGGTCGTGTTTTACACCCCAAAGTCTGCTTCTCTCCTCTTCAAGAAAGTTATTTGTTTTTGCTTTTTAGAATTATTTTTTTAAATTGTTTTCACATTTTTGTAATTGACTGGTGAAGCAGCAGCTGTGTGCTTCATCTCTGTGACAGCAGAAGTAGAAACCTGGACGCCACAACCAAACGCACATGGGATATTCACATTCGCCAAAAACACCGGGTGCAGGAAATTTATAGTTTTCATTTTAATTTACAAATATATTCAGATGTGGCAGAGAAGTGACTGACTACTGAGTCAATCTGTTAGTACTTGACTTTGTCCACCGGCCTGTTCTTTCATCCTGCAGATGAAGGAGCAGCTCACAGTGATATAGCCTCAATAAATAAGTGATGAGTGCGGTAACTTTGCTTTTAACAGAAGGGGGGTAATAATGTGCTTGTTGGGGACTATTTTCATCTGTGGATGAATCCATATTAGGTGTTCTAGTGATACAATGCAGCAGGACAGTTGAGTTTGGGATGGAGTCAAAATAAACTACAGCGTGTGTCCATGGTAACGAAGGAAAACATGGCACCCAGTGCAACAGTTGGCTTGTGTGGTTTTAATAGTTTGTGGACAACAATGGAGCTCTATATATCAGGCTTTACACTCGCACACACACACACACACACACACACACACAGTACTTGTTAGTAGGAGATGTTCAGTGTTGTTGGTGATAAGATAAAAATATAGACTATCACTTTAAATCCTCCCTCCCTCCCTCCTCACCTTTCCGTGCATGAGAAGGCGCAGTGTGAGCGTGACTCCCATGGCCCCGTCTCCAAACTCCCGATCACAGCTCATGGTAGTGGTGGTGTGGTGGGTGGAGGTGTGGGTGGACTCTGCCGCTGGGAGACGCATGAAGGTCTGAGGCCCCGAGGCGTATGGAGCTTTCCAGAACACCACAGAGAACCCTTCGGAGAACCCGGCGAGGAATCCTTGGAGAGCCCTGGCAGCTGTGACAGAGGGGTGAGGGGAGGCTGGGTTCAGGGGGGGTTCGGACGGTGGGACGGTTTTCTGGTGGAGCTGTCGTCAGGGGTGGGTGTTGTGCTTGTTCCTGTTTCTTTCTTCAATTCTGTGGGAAAGCAAAAAAACAAAAACACATCTACATCAACCCACATGATAATCACGTACATTTAAAGGATCTTTATTTTGCAGAGATTCAGCAGCTCAATTAAACACAACCGTCACTTGAAAGTCTGTTTTTTCCTACTACACCTGTATCCACAATGTTGCACGACATGCAACACGACAAACAGCCCTCCAGCGTGTGAGAGCCTGTGTGCCGTGTGGTGTCGATTAATATGACTCAGCAGACGCAGATGAAGAAATTAGAAGAAAAATAGGACAAAACACAGTGGGGCAAAGGAGCCTGAAGCCAGTGTGGAAGCAGCACTAATCAAACTCTACTGAATCCAAAAAACATTAATGCTCAGCTTCCTGCTGATATACAAAGTCAATCGCTTTTTTTTTTATATAAATAATATATAATATACGTCACTTGACCAGTTTAACTCCATCCAGTGTGTTTCTGGCTGGTGGTTCACCCTCTTAGTCGACTGTGTTAAGGTGTATTGACATTTGCAGGCGCAGCTAATCACTGTTGACCGCTGCTCGAACAGACAACAACTAATTAATCTACTAGTGTTTCAGAAGTTCCCTGTGCAATAACAAATTACCTTCATGACGAGACCAGACAAAGACAGAAACATCGATAAGGAAAGTAGGGGTAGGCGATGAAGCCAAAAGAATCAGGTGACTAGTTGTGCATATGCGGTTGCCCGGACACGAACCTGGACCCGTCGCTTCAACGTAAAAGGCCCAACTCACAAATCTCTGCATCCTGTTTTCCCGCTCTGATTTTATTGTGAAAGTCCTGACCGGAAGTTGTGAGCGTCTTAATTTCACTCCTTTGTCTGCTCGACGCTTTTCTTCCCCCACGACGCCGTCCTCTGTTTACGAACCCGTGTCACAACCAATCTCACTTTTTTGCTTCGGTCATATGGAGTAGTTGTTTGGACAGTGCTGTTATTCATTAATGAGCTGCTATATGTATGTATTTTGATGAGAAAGTTCAATCGCTGCCCCGGTTCGTCCCACTTCCTGTTTCCCAAGCAGATCTCTGTAACTCCACCGTCTTGGACAGCAGCTGGAGATTGTGGTTCTTGAAACAGGAAGCAACTGAACTGTCTCATCAAAATAGCTGTAACTGCTAACGACGGGCTCGTTAGCATCGACTGAACTTTTCAAATGTAGCGTCTTTTAATGATTGCGATCTGTATGATTCTTCTTAAAAAAATAGATCATATGGCAAAGTGAGATCGTCCATGATGAGGTCACCCGCCCCTAACGCAAATGCAGCTACCAAGACCGTTACAAAGACGCTGATAGAGTCTCTGAAACATAGCAAACTGCTGCTAGCAACAGTTGCATTGTAGCCAACGTGGCACCTGTTCACAGCACCCCCGGGAGTTTTCAGAGGGGTATAAATACTGCACCAAATTTTATTTATACAGCCGACTATCACAAATCACAAATTTGCCTCAAAGGGCCTAACAGTTTACTGACAGACACTCTCTGTCCTTAAACCCTCGAATCAGATAAGGAAAACTTTCTCAGGAAGAGCAACTTTAGCATGTTAGGTTTTTCTACAGCCATTACACAATACAATATACTGTACGTCTGAGGCTCATGGGAATGCAATTAGTTTGACAGATACTTGGTCATAAAGCAAGGTATTAGATGATGCCACTAGCTGAACACTGTTACAATTCGTCCTGATGAGGATTTCAGTAAGAGTTGATCCTTATTTCTTCACGATCCTGGTTCATGTACAGGCTTATACTTGTATATTTAAGCTTATGTTTGTATCAGACTTGTATTGATGAGGGCTGAGGTCAGACAGAGAGTGAGAGCTTCCGACAAGTGAACGAGTATCAATCATCGATTGGTGTGTGCTCTCATTTGCACTTGTGTGTGAGCGTAGTCGAGTGCGTTTATGAGACACGCGTGTGTGTATGTGTGTGTGTGTGTGTGATTTTGCTGCTAAAATTATTTTGGTTGTAAACCAGCAGTGTGTTTGGCTCCATAGCCACGAGGCCTACAAGCCATTTCATTGATTCAACATCCTGAGCAGCGTTCAGAAAAAGCACCGCAGGAGCGAAACGACTCCAGCGCAATAAGAGGTGTGGAAATTAACATAATTTCTCAAGTGTCAGAAGCTAGTCAACAAGTCAGCGCGGTAATTTAAAAAATTAATTGGGAAGTCTGTTTAAAAAAGCTTAGGGGGCTGAATTAAATAAGCTTTTGGCAATGGAAATGCCACTCAAGCGTGATGATGCTTAAGCATTTCCTTTTACCCCAAACCCCCTCCTCCGAAAACCGAGAGGAAAAACAGCAAAAAGAGAAGCAGACTTCAGCCGCTGCTGCATACTAAAGAGATGTTTCCTCCCTCCCTCTCTCTCTCTCTCTCTCTCTCCGTCGCTCCTGTGTGTGCGTCTTTGTTGAGGTGTATGTTTACATCTGTGTCATGCACATCATTACATGCATGTCTTATACTTTGATCATTTTCTGTGTAAGCTTGTGCGATTTTCCTTGAGCAATGTGTGTGTTTTTACGTTTCTATGTGTGTGCTGTCTGGAGAGGAGTCTTTCAGGCATCCGTCTCTATGCCAACCGGGATCCTTAGTGGCATAAGGTATGCAGATGAATAAACAGAGGTTTGTATGAATGGTGGCTTTTTTTTTCATATTAAAACATCTGTGTATGTGCATGTATGTGTGTGTGTCCGTGAATGCTCTTAAATGAGTGTTTCCGTGCATCTGTGGACCTTTATGTATGCATCTCCATTTGCAGTGTGAACGTCTGCATCTCCCAGGCTCATAAAAAATACACACTTTTACCAAAGTAGGTCACAAACGCGATGCGGGCTGTCTGGCATGCTAGACGAGCAGCGTCTCACAACATAACGCACACACACACACACACACAAACACGCATACACACTTCAGAGAGACCACCTGAGAAACCGAAAACTGACGAGAGAGGACGACGAGCAAAAAACAAGAGAGAGAGAGCGACAGAAAGACGGGACGCAGAGGAGGAAGAGTCTTGGTCAGAGAGGGAGGAAGCTGAAAGAAGTGTCAACAAACATGTTTCATCATCTTCACATGAATTCATTTCTTCAGAGCATAGGTCAAGAGTGTGTGTGTGTGTGTGTGCGTGTGTGTGTGGACTTTAAAAACCATGTCACTGTATGGAAAACTGTGTGTATTCTTGTGTGTTGGCCGCTTGTGTGCATTGGAGTGTGTGCATGTGCTTGGCTGCATGAGTTCATGTATTTGAAAGGACGCATTATGCATGTTTCTCTGTGTGTGTGTGTGTGTGTGTGTGTGTGTGTGTGTGTGTGTGTGTGTGTGTGTGTTGGAAAGAGAAAGAGATAGAAATAAAGGACATATGAATTATTTAACCTCTTTCAGATGCTTCAGCATGGCGTTAAAAACCTGGCTTACCCATCCCCCTTTAAGTCATATATGATCGAATGCACACACACACACACACACACACACACACACACACACACACACCAACAGTTAACATCCCTGTGGACCTGTCCTTGTAGAAATGGACTCGGGGGAATAAGCCATGAATCAGCCATGCATGAGGTCAGCGTGTATGTGTGTGTGTGTGTGTGTGTGTGTGTGTGTGTGTGTGTGTGTGTGTGTGTGTGTGTGTGTGTGTGTGTGTACTTGCATTACTAACATTGTGGGAAAAAAAAACATGTTCAGTCAGTCACATTATGGCGACTGATTCTCACACGGTGAATCTGTTAATTTTAGGGTTGAGATTTGGTTTTTAGACCCAGATCAGGAGTGAGGATGTAGCGGTTATTAGTTTCTGAGGTCAAAGGTCATAGAAACATTGCAAAGCACAAGAAGCAACATATAGACCTACCGTATAGACACAAACAGATTCTGCATGACTGAGTGTCAGAGCAGAGTTGCATTACACCGCCTGATGCGTCTTTATGGGGAACAAAACAGAGAGCCAAAATAGAAAAATGTACATTATACAAGAACATATTGAATCTATACATCAAAGATAGATTCATTAAAATGAAAAACAGGAATCCCATAAATCATCCAAAAAGGAAGCTACTACATCAAAAATATTATAAAGAAAAGCAGAGCAGTTGTGGAGTTAAAGTGTTTAAATTAAATTCATACAAAAATACAAATTTCTTTCTCATAAAATAACAAACATAAAGGAAACGTAGTGACTCCAGCATTATGAAAGTGTTTCTGTTCAGCCTCTCACTGCTCCTGAGTCGGGTCGGGGAAACATCCTGGTCCAGAACAAGTTCACCGTGACTTCAGTCACAACCCGAAAAACACCATCTTTCAGTCATCTTCACCAAAGAGCTTCTGTTGCCTAAAACCTTGATCACTTTAACCCACATGAAGCAATTCTTTACGTTTCAGCAGCTACAGCCCAGATGAGGTTTTGACGACACGCCAACGAGCGCTTGAGTAGCCGGAGCTGTAATTCTTCAGCGTTAATGTTGTAAATAACTGTTATTTTATCTTGGCTCATCTGACAAGCTGCTCATAATTTACAGTCTAGGGGACGTCGGCTACATGTTTAGTTGGATGGAAAGAAAACATCATTATTTAACAACATATTTTGTGGTAAAACAAATCACAACTTTGTAACAGAGGCTGGTGAGAGAAGCCGACTCTGGTCTGAAAAAGCATTAACGCCGTGATCTCTAGAGCTTCCCTGAAAATGAAAATCATCTCAGACTGCGATTACCGATATTAATACGCCTTAAGAAACGCCAGGTGCTCTCCCTCCCTGCTGCCTGTCATCACAGCATTGTTTCAGCACGATACAGATATTCTTGCAGTTGACGGCCACGGACAAAATCCAGGACCTGTCTTCTGAATTACACCTGATAC